TTATAAATTAGTCTGTTAAATTGCTGAGAATGATAGGATTCAATAAGAAAGCTCAGAAAAGATGCTCATGAGCTGATGATGTATCGGGTTTTGGCAATGGATATCTAATATAGAAAGTACATGCAAATGTTTGGTCTGAGGGTAACACCTTAGTAATATAGAGGTCATTGTAAAATACAGACTGCTGGAATATGAGCTGAAAATAGATGTATTACCACATTACTAATTCAAATTCATTACAAGAATTTTCACCCAAATCATTGCATAATGATTTTTTTTTTCAGTAATCTGGTTTCTCAAAAGCAACTATTGAGTTTATATGAACTTATGCCTCTAGGAATGGGCCCGAATATCACCTTGCGTACCTACAATCAAAAGGCAATGACTGCTAAGCGCAAATGCACCAAGCTATCTCTGCACCAGTGAAGTTCAGGAAAAGCTGGAGCTAGGACAGGTGGATCTATTTGTTGCTCTACACAATTATCAGAAGGTCTTCTTCCCCTGCCCCATTGCCAAGGGATGCAAATTCTATTCAGGAAGTTTAGAAAAAGGTAATTTCTTCCTTCTTCTCTGCTTTTAAGTCTATCCTCTGCAGTGAGCTAATGGTTCAAACTTGCACATATTTATGAGAGATAGACATTATTTAATTTATTTTCTTGCTTTTAAGGCAAATCAGGCTGGAAGGATGCAAAAAGTAGTCCAAATTGTTACTACCAGTTCATACCAACAAAAAGCTAGTTAAAACTCAATACATTTCTTCTCAAATTAGTTACTGAATCGAGGAGGACAATTTCATGTTTTTATTATAACTGCCTATTATTTCTGCAGCAGTTGCCAAAGGCCCCGTACATTCATTATTATTGAAAGCATGCAGACATTAGTATTGCCTCTTTGGAAGTGGTGACCTCCCTCTAAGAACTGAAGGATCAGCACAAGCCCACAGGGCTATTTAAATCCTAAATGGAAGCTACATGGAATGCCTCTGGGCGCAAACGGAGCTTTTCCAATACGGCCCATTTCTCGACGGCACTGGCGCTCACTGGAGGATTAGGGTGAGCAAAACATACAGTCGTTTGAATGCCCCTCTCCTGACAGAAGTCATCTGCAAAGCAACTTGCAAGTCAGAGATTAATTTTATACCCACTGCCAAACCTGTGCTTAGTGAGCTGTGCGATGCCCAATTACTCAGGTTTTATGCTGTGGGATATTGTATCTTATTCATACAGAATGAAATCTGGGATAAAATCCTTCTTTCTAAGTACTGGCTTAGGACCAGCAGTCTGAGAAGTTTGCTTCTCTAGAAAGCATTTGTACAGTGTGCCAATGAGTTGGCCCTGGCACAGCAAGAGGAAAAGATATTAAAAACAAACCCAGCAGTGACAGGATTACTAGCTGTAGTCTTCCTTCACCTTCACCCCCAATGTAAACCTCCGAGTGTTTTAGCAGCCTGTATTTCGTCAGCTGTCAGAGTTTACATGACTTCTGAATGCCGGCAAGCCAGGCTTCTGGGGAGCACGGAGTGTTTGCTTCTAAATCTAGCAATTACTGGAAGAGCAGACACCCCAGGTCTGTTAAGAGTTTCAGGGACTCAGATAGGAGCAAAATGCCAGTTGCTAATGACTCTCTGGCTGATTTCTAGTTCAACTCTTTTGTAGCCTGCCTTGGCTAGGAACTAGGAGATGGGATTCCTGCATCCACAGGGGTATTAATTGTTCCTCTTAAGCTGTGGTAGTTTGTGAGATACCATACTATAAAACTTCTGCATTTACCTTGATCTAGCGGGTTTTCTGACTCTGTTCCAGAAGTTAATATAATAGTTCTGCCTCTGGACCAGTGCCATTTTCATGCTATAATATAGTGTGCACTTTGGACCATAGTGTGGCAGGGGCTTGAGGTGAATTTCTTAAAAATTGTCGACCTTTTATTTGGCTGTTAAGCCAACTTTCTTAATATTTACATTAGCAATATGGTTAAATAGAATCCTAGTTAATGTTTTACTTGAAGAGTTTAGAATTTCAAGTTATTAAAATAATATACTTACGATGAAGTTTGGATCTTTAAATGGTAGAGGCTTGACGGTTGTTTCCGCTGATCCTGTGCTGGAGTCTGTGTTCAGAAATTTGTTATCATTCATGGCCTCTCCACCTGCACTCTGAAGAAAAAATACAATCTTACTGCTTCTTACTCTCAGCAAGTTTATACTGCAGAAAGAGTCATCTGCTCTATTACCGACCTGATGCCTTTTTAGCCTTCCTATCTCTTTGGAATCTTTAAAGATGTTGCACACCAGCAGTGGGGAAGCATGAAACAGAATATTTGTCAAGCAATTTACAACTGACACATAAAGGGGAGGGGAATAAGAGTAGCCAAAGCCTACTGAGTAGAAACAGCATCGAGTTTATTTCAGTATTAATGAAAGCCATCTCTATAAAGTGCAAGACAGCATGTGAAACCTGAAACAGCAGAAACGTACATTGGATCTATTTCAGAATGTTCCGTATTAGTGCATTAACAGGAATATATAAAATTTATAAAAAGTTTTTTTCAAGGTTCTAAAGAAAAATTGATTAATCAGTTTATTCTTCATCCTTGTCCTCAATTGTGCCTGTGTGAAGATTGAGACAAAAAAGTACTTTATTTTATATATATTATTTTTACATACAAGCCTCACAAAATCTACATGGGTACTAGTTGGTGTTTTCTAGGCTTTTCTTTAGGGTTTATCTATTTAGCAGGAAGAGCAGCTGGAGAAGGTGTGTGTGTGACTGGAAAGCTCAAAATGTTGTGTGGCAGTCTAACCAATTTCTGATAGTTCTGCATGGCTGAGTTTATGTTGTTTTTTATTTTGTGAATGCCCTGTAAGTCTCCACACTACCAGAACTAGCCCATGCTACATACATAAATGTTCGTCGTGAAATCCTGATCTATACTGAAGCCAATGAGAATTTTGCCATTGAGTTTGGCAGTTCAGTCCATAGGATTTCATACCTTCATTCTGTTTTCTCTTGAAGAACAAAAAGGTTGGCTAAAAGCTAAATCAATATTTACTGAATGAGTGGTTAAAATGTTTCTTTACTTTACCTTCAGACAGATAATACTTAGAACAAAAGAAGTTCTCCTGTGAAAACCTGCACTGCAAAACCTTCTGTGTTGATACAATACTCTTTTAAGTAGGAGAAGAAAGGATCATTACTAATAGTGAATTATAGGAGTATCTCTAGAAACTGAGACTATATGGCAAAGGCCGTGATTCAGCATATCCTCCTCCATGTGAGTACAAGGGAAGTGTTTGTATTCTTAACTAAATGCATTAGTAATTACAGGATTAGGGACTAGGCAACTTGAACTCTTCTTTGGGGAAATACATCCAGTTATTCAACAATGCCTGTTTTTAACATAGCAAGGAGAGGTCTTTAATATTCAAAGTATGGTATAAAGACGCATTCAAGTAAAATAGTCATGTTTCTAGTGTCTTATTAAAGTAAAATATGTGAATAGAGACGATCTATTTTCAAAACAACAGTCAGTCCTCTGTAAGCCCATAGTACAGGGGATACAGCCAAAATAACATCAGTGGAAGCAACACTGAAGTCTGTAGCTTAAACTTGATTCTTCCCTTGCTGAGGACAACATTAAAAGGCAGTGACTGTCAGAGAAACAGGAGAAATGCAGATGGATGTTTAGAAACATGTGCATTATGTGACAGCAAGCAGGGAAAATATCTTCAGCAATCCTGAGTAAAGTGGTTTTATACAATGAGTTGCTAGGTTTCAAACTATATTCTTGCACATGCACGCTTCCAGCACTTCAGATTTCAGCAGCAAACATTAAAGTCAATCTCGAGAAAGATAAGGCTGGAGAGACAAGATTATTTTTGATGAATAAATTATCTCTGATACCACTCATTATCAGTGTAAATTCTCTAAGTGGAGGAATCAGCACTCACAGTTATTCTTCAAAGCATTCTTGCCTTTTATTTGGTACCATTTGGTCGGTTTTAAATCCAATCCCACAGTTTTTTATTAATTAATTTCTCACTTTTGCCCCTTCAGTGATCTTCTCCTAAGTATTCTGTTGTTTATGAAATAGGTTTTGAGTAGCATTCCAACAATATCTCAAAACAGTATCTAGTATTTTGAGGCAGAGCAAATAAAAATAGTTAAACAGTAAAGGGGAAAAAGCTTCCTTATACATATAGTCCTTAATTTCTGCAGCTGGGTGCACTTACATATTGCACTCACCATCTTCAGTGGGTTTTTCTGTGTGGATTCAGTGTTAATCTTGCTAGTGCATTGCGAAGGAAAGTAAGGAACTGTTCCTGGCAGGATAATTCCTGAATGTAAATTCTACATGTTGTTTCTTTTCCGGACCAACCCCTAAGAGATTTCAGGTATTAGCACTGCTAAGAGTTGGCATAACTCACGTTACAGACCAGATGTTAATTTTGTTTGTGCTGGCATCCCTTGCACAGTGGCAGAGGCAGCAGGATCTGGAGCAGCAGCTGCTGCTTTTCTGGGCCATGTGGACACCCAAGTCATCCTCCAGTCCCACTGAGACGTAATGCCAGCAGTAGCTTCTGGATCTGTCATGGAGAATTTGAGTGCAGTGGTTTCCTCTCCAAGGCAAAGGGTGCAGGACTGTAAAGCAGCTTGCATACCATGGTGGTATGCAATTGATATCATGATTTCAGAGCCCTGTGACAGACTGGGAAGCAACTAAGACCGAGTACTACGATCCCAGTTAAATGCTGGGAAGTGAGATAAAGACATACTATAGAGGCACGCCAGTTCCCTCACTCAGCTTGTATGAAAACGCTGATTTTTAGCAGTAGCACTATGGAAGAGAGATACTCAGCTAATGTGCTTTTCTTTCTGGAAAAACATTAAAGACTTGAGTAGAAGCACTGCTTCCAGAATAATGTGCTACTGCACAGAGGAGTGAACTCTGGCAAGTACAGAGCTTTGAAATGCTCTCCGTGCAGCCTGCAGAAGTCTCAGTTGATACCCTGAGCAGTTTTATAGCCACAAACTGAAAGTGTCTCAACAATCTACAAATCTGTCCAGCCTACATTTTAAAATGCCAGGATTTGAAACATAAGAAACATCTTTTAATGTTTCAGGTTTGTTTTTTGAAAGTTGTTTTAAAGGCAGGAGGGGAGATGCCAAATGAATTTTAGCCAATATGGATCTACCTTTGTACTGCAAAACCCATGTTTCCTGAAAGTGAATAATACAGTGATAACACAAAACATTATTGACAGCCTGAAAGAATATTCCTCAGTGAACAATTACTGTACAGTAAAGGTCATCTTTAACTTTTAACATTAGTTGAACAAATCTCTCCCAAATGTGCTTGTTTGCTTGGTCGTTTAGTTTGGAAGATTGTTCATTCTTCGCAGTCATGTGTTGGGGCAAACAAAACAGGAATGAATTCAAATCCCCTTTGTAGTCCTAGGAAGGTCTGGTGAGCAGCGTGCGGAAGCGCCTGTCACCAGGGAACATGTCCTGCTCAATGTGTGCTGTAACCCCCAGTCACGCGTAGGGTAACTTCCCCTTCCTGCCCAATTCACAACCAGCCCCCAGCACATTTTCTCTACCCAGCCAGTCTCTTAGCTAACTCCCTCACCTCCAGCGTCCTAGGATAATCCCAAATGCTTTGCAGTAGAGCTAGAATCAAAGTGTAACCATGGGCTGAAACTCTCCATAGCTTCTTTAAAGCTTCTTTTTAACTGAGCTTGTAATGTAAACATCCTTTATGGGGAGCTCAATATACACTTCAAGGAGAGAGAGAGTGAGGCAGCTTTTAATGTGCACTTTATAACTAAATTGTGTCTTTTAAACCGTGGTTTATGTAACTAGGGCTACAGGGAATTTGTGCTACAATAGTCACTAAGCAGTGTATGTTTTTCTGCATAGGCTGTTGAAGATTATTACAACAAAGACTTTGGAGTGGCTTTACATTTACAGGGTACATCTGCACCGGCAAATGAAGGTGTGATTTCAGTACAGCTGAACCTGCTTACGCTAGTTTTACCCCAAATAACAACAAAAACACTGGAGTAAAGACTGCAGCCAAGATATCAGTAACTATGTTCATCCCTTCGCACCAACTCTTCCTCTGGCTGTTAACCTCCACAGAAGTCCATGCTGCCACCTCTTCTCATGTTACCTACCTCTGTTCTCCTCCTCCTCCTCCTCCCTGTATCCTCCTTAGCCAGGTGCAGAGCAACCCGGACTGGAATTGCATGTTTGAAAAGTTGTAGACAGCAGGTCAAATGCTCCTTGCAGGACCACTTGTGCAATCTTATTCCCTCTTTCAAGTTGTGCTTATGTGCTTGAGCTGAATTTTAACTCCAACCACAGTGTGACAGGTTGGCAACCTCTGTCCCTCCTGGCATATGAGTGAGAAGTGCTGCTTCTTTTTCGCTTTTCTTTTCACAAGACCATCTATCGAGTATTTGGTGCATCCCAGCTGGGTGGGACACTGTCCTCCCCGTTACGTACTAGGACTGGGTGTGAGTCGCTGGGTGAGGAAGCTGGCTGAGGACTTCACTTGGTTAGGAGACAGCAAAAATTCGAGAGCGAGCAAAGACCTGCAGCAAACACTTGGGAGTCCTAAGAGGTTTGTTGTAAGAGCAGCCAAGTCTGGGGAAGAGACCTGAGCTAAGCTTTGCTACCTTAACACTGGTTTCTTTTGAATAAAGCCAAACCCCAGGAATGAGCCTAGTTTGGACCCTACTGTATGTGCTGTCTGTAGTGGGAGAAAACACACACTGGGAGGCTGCCTATTCACATACTACTTTCAATCTTAGGTTTTGGTAGATCTATTAATTTTTTCAATATATTCTGTTCCAAATTCCCTACCGCAGATGTATTGGTTTTCACATGATTTCCAAAGATTGCTCCATCTGTCTGGTTTTATTTAGGGAGAGGACAAGCAAAACTTGTAGACCATGGAAGCTGAATTCTTTGTTTTGGCTATTTCTAGGTGGAATCAGCACTGTGGGGTTTGGGATGGGTGTCTGTGATGGGACTAAATACCAGGTGCAATTAGCTTATTATGAAAGTGCTTGTCTGAATCATCATTCCTTTTTTTTTTTTTTTTCCGCCAGCAAGGATTAAAACTACATAACAGAATAACTGATATATGCTGAAGTATCATTTCTTACCTATTTATTTTTGGATTATATTCTATAATGTTTTTTTCATTATTTTAGACTAACAGGATTTTACAAAGTATAAAAAATATTAAAAAATAATGAAACACAAAAGTCAAAGACGTACATTTGTGCATTTTTGCCATCCTATAGCTGCATACCATGCATGTCATGGCTTAGAAAAAAATAGATTTGCACATCACTGAAGGTACACTACAATCATCAGTGGCCATTTTGACTAGATGTTACAGTTTTACATTGTAAAACAGAATTAAAAAATAGAAGATAAACTGAAGAGTGTGTTGGTAAAGTAAAACTTAAATGCATTAATAAATTCCGGAAGAACTGGAAAGGGAGTTTCTAGTTTAAAGGAGCAAAAACAATACTGTAAACATTGATTTTTCTCTGTCTGTTTTGTTTTCTGCAAATCATTAATTCGTTAGTCAATTTTAACACTATTGAGTACAGCAGTTGTAGATGAGGGTTATTACATATGTAGTTTTTTGCTTTGGTTTTGATTCTACATTCAGTATTTCTGGTACTCTGGCTTTGTGTTAAAGTGATGACTAGGGGGTTGTATGTGACTATTGACAAAAGAAGTAGTAAGAGGGGTCTGGTTCTAAATCAGGCCCTCACACTTGGTGATAACTTTGCCCCAAGCACCCAGTTTGGCTTGCTGCAGAACCCACTTGTCTCCAACCTTTGTATGTGAAGTTCAATAAATAGTTTGAAGTATTTTCACTTACTTTTGGCAGCTGATTTTCATAACCACAATAATACTACAATGAGATTCTTAATTTCATTGACACAGTTGTTTTAATTCAGCCTCAATAATGGTATATGTTTAATTATTCCTATAGTAGGTTACTTCTAAAGCAACTTGGGTATTGCACCCAACCTGTGGCAACTTCCTCAGCTTTTAGCTGTAAGTTCTGTGACATTCTGACGAAGCTGTGGCATGAAGCTAGGAAAGTAAATGGTAATTTATAAAACAGAGAGATTTATAAAACAGAGAGATAATAGCTGTATTTTCACTAGCAGCCAATTACAGTGAGTGAGAATGCCATGTGGAAACAGAGCACAAATGTCACTAGATGACAGCAGCGATGATACAAGCAGACTTTTAAAAATTGGGAAGAGACTTTGAATGTCAGCTATTTAACAGAGTCCCTGCTAATACTGCTCATACTGGAACATATATTAAGCTGTTTGATTAATATATTAGCTCTCACTGTATAACAAGCCCGGTACAGGCTCTTGCACATTCTGAATATTTAATTCATTTAACTTTTCATGATGACATGACAGGAGCTATTAAAACTTGAACACATACACTCTGGCAGACAAAAATGCAGCTCTTTACATTGCTGGGAACAATTCACGGAGAAAGCTGTCAGAATTAGACATGCTTAAGCTCAAGTTAAAATGACAGCTAAAAAATTTCTCATCGCCAATGTCATTAGCATAGTGCATTTCTGAAAGCAAACTCACTGAAGACTCAATAACAATATAAAAGTGAAGAAATAGCACTGAACAAGATTAACTCTCTCCACATCTGTTACAGAAAAGTTTGCTGGTAAGACTTATTCAGTAACATCTATAAACATGTCTTCCCCATCTGGTTGCATTTTACTGGTTCTTGGATAAAAAACCTTATTCCCTCTTCCTTTCCACTCACTAAAATGAAGCCCAATACAATTTCCCCAGCCTCTTCTCTCTCAGCATGGTAGCATGTGGTACATGGTAGCATTTTAGGAACATTCTCCCTTCACAGAAGGTCCTACCTTACTTTAGAAGAGGACAAAAAATATTTCAGCTTGAAAATGTTCAAATGCTAGGAAGGAAAAAAAATAATCTTGCATATTCACAGCAAATTTTGTTCCACAGGGTACTGAAAAACTCAATTTACTGAACAAAAAAACTGAGTAGGAGCTAGCTGAAAACAGGTATTAAGTACAGTGCAGATCAATGTCCTTGATTTCAAGCAGCTAGTAGGGTGGGCAAGACAGTCATGCATACATTGTAAACTGGGAGTAAATCTATTTAAGTCAATGGGTTTCATCATTGCCAACTCATCTTAAAATACAAGTTTTCTCGTACAGGTTTCTGCTTCCATTGACATCAAAAGTAAATCTCCCAAATGCCCATCAACAAAAATATTTTTGTTTAAATTATGACGTTGTCCTCAGATCCCGCTGCTGCTTTCACTTACAGAGAAAGCTGAGGGAGGGTTATTAGAAACAAACATAGCAACACAAAACTTGAAATTAGATTGTTGAATTATTATTATAATAGTTTGTAATTCCAAGTACATGTCATTAAATGTACTTCATTGTCTTCTAAGCATTCCCCAGAGGACTTCTGAGTCACGTGTCAAACTACTTTTTGGTGTGAGACTTACAAAATCTGCCCTTCCTGAAGCAGCAGTTCTTTCTCTCTAACTTGCTGAGTATTTCTGCTGAGTATCAAGAGTTAATCAACTACGCAAATTAACTCCAAATATATGACTAAAATTCAGAAATAATCTCTCCTGTTGGGTGTATAAGAGGAAGGGGGGAGCTGTTTGAAGCAGGACATGCAAAAATGTTTCAATTGCGATCTAAATAAATAAAGATAATACATAAAGACACATATGCTGTCCAGAAAGCAATCTGTACATTAAGCTTTCGAACTTTTAGACAGCTGTTTTGAGGTGAGTTAAACCCTCTTACATTCCAACTGCCTTAGAAAGGGTGAATAAAATTTTACTCATGCACTAAAAGATTGGACTGTCACGAAGTGATGGATGGCTTTCCTATGTTCACTGTAGGGCATTTCAATACCATAGACTCCAAGTGCTCTTGATTAAAAGGCGACATTCTCATTTAGGGTCTCGTCACTGCCTGAGCTTCAAACCATTATCATTCACCTGCACTGGTGCTTCCAGTGACAAAATACTTACCAAAACGTATAAAATACTAATTACTTTAGTCACTTTGATAGAGGTATAAAACACCCTAAAGCAAAGCTCTATTAAGCTGTGTGAGGGTTTGAATTAAAAATTAAAAATGCAGCCAAAGGGAGAATAAGATTTTAATTACATTCCCCACCTCTCAAACATTTCTTGAAAACCTCAGGGAAAAAGACGTAGCAATTTCATGACACAAGAACTCCCTTCTTACTGGTACTGCTCACTTAAGAAAATAAAAAAAAAAATCCAGAAAAACTCAAGTTTACTTTGTTCTCTTCAAAATTATTAAACTTTCAAGCACAGAAAGAGACTAACAAGTTTCAATAAAAAGCTGTGATTTCTTCTCAAGAGATTTCAGATGCCAAACATATTTTTCCATTTAAAAACTTTCAAGCACTATGATAGACAAAGTTTTATAACTTACAGATATTTCAAGGAAAAAAAATTACTATTTTCTATGGGGAAAAGCCTCAAATAAAATGTAATTGGGACGCAACTGTGAATAGCTTCACACTATCTCAGAAATGTTTGGTTTAATTTGCATTTGCCACAAAGCTCCCTTTGGCTTAAATAATTGCAAAAGATCTCTCACTTTTAGATTTCATTTGGTGGATTGGGACTATTCCTTGTTTATAACGTTTGACAGTTTCCTTTATTAAGAAAATTGTAACTTGGACAAATTCATGAGCTAAATGGCATGCTGAAGCAGCTCTGGAGCTAAAAATTTCAGCATATATGGAATGAAAAAGCCCATGTTAGTTCATACTTTCACCAAGCGTAAAACTGAGCCCAGGTAACAGAATATTTTGATTCCCCAAGTGAAAAAAAAAGTCTTCTAAATTGATGGGCCTTAAGACTGAAAATGGATGGAAGCATACTAGCAAAAAAGACTACAGTAAATCACAACTGAATTTTTATAAAAAATTCCATTATATTCCTTTCTCTATCAGAAAAATTCAGTTCAGTCAAGGACTTCAGCTAAACTGCTTCTTAAAGTTTAAAATACATAATTTGATATAGAACAGTTAAGGTCAAAGTATTTTTGGAGAAAAGACTGGAGGATTACAATATGCTCATGTGCTGTTAACATTGTAATGCTGCTCAGAGACTGTATCAAAATCCTTCTGTTGAATAACAGGCTTCAGCCAAGGTAGAAGGATCCAAGTCCATTCATCTGCGTATGACTAAACCAGGGACGGGGAAAGCAAAAAGGTATCAGCTCTTATGGCTGACGGGAAAGCAACTCCATTCTCAAAAAAATACTCAGTTTCCTGATTCTAGTTTATTCTGTAAAACATTATCCATTTTGACAGGAAACAACGTTTGATAACAAACAAAAACAAAACAATGTTTCTTCAAGGAAAGGCAATTAATTAGTTTCGAGCAAAGACAGGGTGCATCTTTCTTCCAGAGCTCCTATTCCATCTATTTTTCTCAGGAAAAATAGACCTGAATTAGAATAGTCACATTTTACATTCAGATGTTATGGACTAACTGGTAAACCAATACAGAAAACAAAACTTTACTTTTGCATTTTCCCTATTTTTTGCACTTCCTTCTGTCTGTCTTAATTGTCACTTTAAGTAGATAAAAATTCTACTTCTATTATGTTTCTTCTAACTACACCTACTGCTGCCATGATGCATTAATAAATACTAGCAGTTGCACTGCAAAGGCTTAGCACTGCAGTTTGAAGTTACTCAGAAGGTTTTTCCATTTCTGTACAGGTACTTAAGACTGTCATACCCAACACAATGTCAGAAAGACAAACATTAGGAACACTGACGTATGGAACATTCCACTTCTAAAGCAACTAAGAATAAAAATATTCTTTCTACAAACCTTCAAAAGGTTCTCAAAGGCATAACATATCAGAGAGCAGTAATTGTATCAGATGCTCTGAAGGTCTTTAAAAGAGGACAAGAAAAGAAACTATACCTTAGTTTTTAAAAATCTTCAGACTACAAACGTTATCTTTTTTGTTTGTCCTGTATTATGGGACAAAAAAAAATAGTATCTGGCTGTACATGCCCTGAATACTACATCCGCTTTCCTTCATCTAGCAAATTCAATACCAAAAAAAACCTGCTTTGAATAGCACACGAGATCTCCTGTACTCAGCAAAACTGTAGGTGCATTATCCTATGGATACCTACATTTAACTGGCTAATGAAACAAACTGATGACTGAACCAACAGAAACATACGGCAAATTCTAATTTAGATGAAAATAAGGTAATACAAGTATTTATTGTAGACTCTTTTGAGGCTGCTCAGTAGGAAAAGGGAGGAGAGAGTTTTATAGTGATGCTAACTTCAAGGCAAATTTCTGAAATATTTCTGCAGAAACATTTGTAAAAGTAGGTGGTTGTTTACTCAACTATGTAAGTTCTGTGGCCATACACTTCACCCTGATACTATATATTGAAGTTGAGGAACTGCAGCATATCTGAAAAGCACCAGACAGTTCAGTGTTTTGCATATAAACTTTTATCCCGACTGCCTTTTTTGCTGGACTTGAAACAGAACTGTTAAAAGACTTGACTTTTCCACTACATTAGCATCAGTGAAGTTTTGGGATCATGTTCATGATCGTAGGTGAGAGGGAAACAGTATTTAATATTTTGTGATGGGATTAACAAGATATTTTACAAAGTTTCCCACAATGAATTATTTAGCAAATAAAAAAAACACCTTTTGGACAGATGGAAAGGAGGAGGATAAAAAGGGCAATTCTGTGGCTGCAACAAAAGGCAATTCTGGCTGCAACAAATAGGTTTAACAAAAATTAAGGAGAAAATGGAATTTCTGACTTAGGAAAATTAAGGTCATTAATGTGAGCTTCAAACTAGCATTGCTAGTTCTAGATGATGTAAACAGAGATAATGAACTTAAGGAGTAAGAACTTTCCAGCTAACTACTTCCGTTTGAGGAACCTGAACACACTGCAGATGTCAAAGAAAAATGGCCTTCTATTCCAGTTTGTTGATTTTAAGACTTAATTTTGCTGTAAGAACATTGTGCTGTTCCTCCCAGGGAAAAGCAGTTCTACTAAAAAGTAACTATTGTTACAGTGTAGGGAGAATTAATATTCTCTAAAGGTAGTCATTGAGTTTTGGGCCTAATACAATTAACACACTATGGGGAAAAGTACCCAGCTGAGGTACCCAGACGGGCCTATGGAAGGAGCATACGACTGCTCATTTAGGGAGAGGACGCACCCATCTTAATCGCATACATCAGATGTCGGAAATGAGACACAGTAACGCGGAATCATTGAGGCTGGAAGGGGTCTTGAGAGGTCACTAGCCCACCTCCTGCTCAAAGCAGGGTCAAAACTGACCTTGGACCAGGCTGCTTAGGGCTTTGTCCCAGCAGGTGTTGAACACCTCCAAGGACAGAGATTCCACAGCTCTCTGGGCAGCTCTCCATCTCCCTAGTTAGAAATCAATATCCTATAAAATAGAAAATACTGGGTTTATTAACAAAAAGCTCTTTTGGTCATAAGCAGTCATATAACTCACATTAATTACTGCCCTAATTTCTGCATGTTCCATTTCAGCAGTATTTCGCTGTGGTCCTGATGGTTTCAGGGCATGAATGTAACAAAGTTTCTGGGAAGAGGGGTCATCTTTTATTAAATGTACCTGTTTATCTGGAAAATTAAGACAAGCTTCTGGATGGACTGCATACTAATACACCACTGACTCAACAGAAAGACTGTTTTTATGGCACATAACTTTCACACAGTTTACTACAGGGTTTTAACTCCCTCCTCCTTTCTCCTAGACAATCAGTATTTTCATAATACTCTCTCCCTTCCCTGATTAACATCCCCTGTACTCCTGGCATGCAACTAGACCAAAGATGGTCTACTTGACATATACCTAACCAAACTCTAAGCAGTTGATCTGTATTTAGCTTGGGATGTTGCCGTTTAATTTTCCATTTGAAAAGACTGGTATGCTTGAAAGCTTATTTGATTTTTTCCAGCTATACCACTTAAGTGACACTATCCATACCTGTAAATCTTGTCTAATTTATGCAGAAACTATCATAGGTGTCTCAGCCTTTTCTGCCTTTCTTCTCATTCTTTCACTCAGAAAAGCATAAATCTGAGGAGGCAGTAACTAAAGCTGTCGTGACAAGCACGTTGCATCTTTATGAACACAGGGGTAAAGTAGTGCTACAAGCACACCCAACACTAGAAGTGCAGAAAAGTAAAAAAACCTAACTTGCTTAAAACTGTGTAGAAGGTTTCACCTCTAGGCCTGTGGATGTTTACAAAATGAGCTATCTTTTTTACATATGTCAGATTTTATGTAATTCACATGTTAGGCAGGTTGTGCACAGAAGCACATGAAGTGCGATATTTTGTCTGTTTAATGAAAATTAAGGACATACGATATACAACAAATAATTTTTCTGTTTAATAAATTGTAAAAGGACAGATATGATACGAGAAGTCTCTCTTCATGTGGTAAATTCTAGCAATGGTCTGTAATGCTTTACAGAAGGATTTTTCTTTTAATTCCCTAGAATGCTCCTTATCCACAGCAGGGTCTTATAATCGGCAAGGACAATTTTTCTTCCTGAATCAGCCAACACTTACACCCTGGGGCAGAATGATTACAAACCACGTAACTACAGATATTCACCCCTCCCAGAATGATGGGCTCTGCCACAGTTTATTTACATATTACTCACAAAATAGTTTCCTTCTATCCATTTCAATTTTGTTTCTTGAATTAACAGTGATGCATTTTTATTACAACATAAATGCATGTTATTAGATGGCTTGACTATCTAGCTTTTTGGGTAGAGTTTTGGAAGGGAGATTTCTGATCCCTGTGTGCACAACTGTGTATTTTGCCTTAAAATTATCGTTAGACAAAATATGTAACAGAAATAAATACCTAAAAGACATAACCAGACCATTCTGGTTCAATACCAACTGTGTTCAATACCAGACTATGGAGCTGTTCCCTTTGGAACAGACAGAACCTCCATCCTCCGCTGTAGAGGGGAAAACATGTCCGTGCTCCCCTCCCACCACACCAGACTGGCTTCCAGCCTGGTGGTTAGGGGGTGTGGGGAAAAAGAGGGTTTGAATCCCCCTAGGCAATGGCAGGAACAGGACTAATTTCAAGTGGGGGACACAGCAAGCACTTGTAAGGACACGTGATATAAAAAGCAAGTATCAGTGCTGTAAGTGTGACTTCTGTTCTACTTTTGAAAGAAAGGATTTAATATCTGCTTTCAGAAAGGCAAGATGTTCATGGTTCTGAATCTGAAGTAGAAAGAGTTGCCTAAATCTTCAGGGAGAAGTAGAATTAGGACTCATCTAGAGTATTTCCTGCTAGCTTATTTTGATGGCATCTCACAAAGCTTGCTGGAGTTTGTAGGATCAGTTAAGGTACTTAAAGACTGACAGACAAGCAGTACGATAGCTGAAGCTGTTACTCTTCAGGTCTTCCCACAGCCAGGGACACTGGATCCACTAATGAATCAGATCTTGATCTGCTCCAGGTTTCATTTACTTTGTTGCAGTACTCTAATGAAATCTGCAGTTAAGAGTATCTAAGCTCATGAAATAGCTCACTAGCAGTGGAAAAGCGGTTTTCCTTGCCATGTGGTCCTGTTTCTTCCTTCAGCTACCTCCAACACCAGTTAGATCTCCCTGTGAATCAGTCCAGTTCACCAATGTAGCAGGAGACAATGCAGGTTCCTGGGAGAAGCGGAAGGTTTGGTAAGTCTGTCTTTCGACTGAGGACCTCCATCAGTGGCTGAGCCGGTCTGGTGAGTACCCAGGCTGGCGTGATGCAGGCAGCAGGAGACTTGTGGGGGTGGGTAAGAGTGAAGAAGATAGGAAGAGACTGGGACTCTTTCCTTTTTGATCATGAGAAGCTCACAGATTGCCTAAGTGAGCCTCTTGAAATTGCAGGTGTGCTTTGCAGTGAGACAAGACATGCTGTTCATGGATATAAATTCTGCTGTGAGGGCCCAGGTGTATTTCACAGCACGGAGTGTCACAACTCTTACGGCTTTCTGCAGGGCTAAATAAATAGCCAATGTCTCCATTCTGTTTTCTTGGAATGCTTAAAAAATGTGTTCAAAACCATCCCAGGCTACCCAATTAATATTTCTATTAGCCTTTCTAATAAAAAAGTAATAC